CTTCTACCAGTTCCATCACCACTAGTAGTCAGATGCCTACTGGTAAGGATTCCGCTGCATTAGAAACTGGGAAGGACTTTCCAAAAACAACCTCTGCTAGCTCAACGTTGAACCTCAATGACTCCATTCCAGAGTTTGTACCAGGGAAGCCATGGCAGGGCATTTCTAAAAGCGTTGAAGATGATCCACATATCACACCTGGAAGCTATTCCCGCTCCTACAGTCTCAGTACTCCTAAAGAGGATGACCTGTCCTCTCTCACTAAAACCAGTCCAAGCACATCTGAGTCTCCTTCATGGTCTACAAAAAATCCACAGCAGATTGGTAGATCCTGGAGTGGTGTAGATAATGTCATTCCAACCTCTTTCTCAAATGAGGTCTGGGGCGTTCCTCTGCCAAAGAATGCCTCTCGCCCTCCTCCAGGACTGATCCAACAGAACAAATCAGGAGGAAACTGGAGTGGAGTCAACCGCCAGCATTCCTGGGCCGGTTCAGGTGAATATCAAGCATTCTATTTTTAAAAAGTAAGCTGTATAGCATACTCTGAATTAAAACCAAACAAATAGTTCATGCTCTGTAGTGGTAATTTAATGTGACTCAGTCTTGACAAAGAATGTTCTTGGCTTTGCATGCAAGATAAAACAGTTCTTCTTAACAGTAAAATAGCATTTAAAAAGATGCATCACTTTTTATGTGATTTTGATGTTAGCAAGGTTCAATTTTTCAATGGCAATTTGTGTTGATTCTGTTTTACAGGAAGTACTGGCAATTGGATGGGAGTGCCTTCCAATTGCTTGCTTTTGCGGAACTTGACTCCACAGGTAATAGTTTAAGAGATCATGGAAATAGTTTCAAGTAACACATTGGAATACCTTTGTATGACAATTGAGGGAAATTATATTGATGCTTTTCTCTACTGACTGAAATGAAGTGATAGTGGGAAAGATTGTTTGGTACCGTATTACAGTACTGATTTTAATGAGGAACAGCAGATGTTGAATTTCAAGAAATCATGACAAATATCTTGCCTGTTATGTAAAACTCTTGCATCTTAAACACCATAATGTTTCATCTTAAAGAGGTAGCCACTGAATCACTGAATTATTGCTCATTTTGTGAAAAATTGTAATAATTGATATTTGAGGATCATTGAATTGTAAACTTTTTTTTTAAAGTGTAGAGGGTATTTAGAAATTGTTGTCTTTTTAGTTGAAACCTGACTTGAGTGCCATGTTAATTTCTGGTATTAAAGATCATGAAAATTATTTTAATGGTTCTTTTATTTCTTTTTTGTAGATTGATGGATCAACACTGCGCACTCTTTGCTTACAGCATGGACCTTTGATCTGGTTTTATTTAATTCTGAATCAAGGACAAGCACTTGTACGATACAACACAAAGGAGGAAGCAATCAAAGCTCAAAAGTCCCTTAACACTTGCGTTCTTTCTAACACAACCATAGTAGCGGAATTTGTATCGGAAGCAGAAGCAGCACGATTTGCTGAGAATGCCATGTCAACTTCTCAACCTAGTCAGTGGTCTCAACAACAGCAACAGCAACAACAACCGTCACAGCAGTACAGGTCTACTGTTGGAGGAGGGGGAATGGGCAGGTCTGTTTCTACCAGTGGTGTGGGGGATCTTGGCTCCTGGAACACCACACCATCAGTAGTCCCAATGGCTCCAGGGATCCATAACAGTAATAGTATGTGGGGGGCAGGGGCTGGGTCAGGGTCAGGACAGGGTAGTGGGGGGTTATGGGGTATGGAAGACCACAGTGCTAGTTTGCTTGGTAATATGTTAGGGGAGTCCATGTAAACTGTTTTTGTTTTCTTTTATATTATTAAATGTGGTTTCCCTCCCATGTCGTGTGTGATCTCCAATTCATGCGGGTTAGTCAGAGGTGGGAGCAGTATTCCAATAGTGTTATTATTATTGATTCATTATTATTAATATTATTGTAGTTGTTAGATAAGCATCAAATGTGTTCTCGAGTTGTTGGGTTCTATGGTGAGACTGCCAGACACCAGAGTTGATGCAAATACTTTGGTGCTTGCTGCTTCAAAGAAGTAAAGCCCATTTTTATTTTTTCATACTTCTGATGAAGTATTTTTAAGTCTTTCAGAATTCCCTTGTTCTTGTCAGGTAGTCTGGATAGTTTCTCACCAAAATCTGGCAACTCTTCTGATGAAGGTTAAGTCATCTGCACAAAATAACCTCAGATTTCATGTTTGTAAGAGTCTTTTATTTATGTCCGTCACTCATGACTTCTTTAATTGCCATTTTGTAATGCAAAGATATGAATGCAACCAGATGTATGTAAAATGTACTGTATTTAAACAAAGAAAAAAAAGCAAAAAAAAATATAAAATATCTATCAAATGGGTATGTGTGAATTTATTTTTATGATGTTTGGATTGATGAACCTGTTGTTGTATTGCAGGTTATTTTACTGTGATATTGAAAATGAATATATATCAATCAGTTTAATTTATGTTATAATACTATGTAGTTGTAGAAAATGTTGATGAATGTTCAGCCGAGTGTGTGTGTCGACACACGGTGATTATTATTGACTATATATGATATGAATATTCCATGTAATGTGATTGTACAGTCCACTGCCAAGTCTGTCTGAAGGTGGACTGGCGTTCTCTTTTTGTCTTCTAAACTGAATTGTTGAAATGTCATTCCTTAATTAATAATCTATATTGGCCAAACATTTCATTATTATGATAATGATACAATAATGATGACAATTTGTTGCTATATAATTTATATGTAGCCATATTTTTGTTCATGTCTTTGAAGGTTTTTTTGGGTTGTGTGACTGTGCTTGCTCAAGAGCGTGTGCTGTTTTTTCCCCCCATAATATCTATATTCAATCATTCTATTGTGCGACAGAATGTTGTGATTTTGCAAACAAGTACAGGGTGTCCTGTAATTTGTTCCCTCTTAGTGCTACTACAGGTGATACTGTGTAAACCAGAGTTTATATACATTTCTCACCCACCAAATTTTTAGCCCACTCTTTATCAAGAAAAATACTGATACACAAATGTTACTGATCATGTTTTGTAAGTTATATGATGAATCCATGAAAAGTGTTCGTTTTATATTATATGTTCACAAATAGTGTATGACTGTTTTTGTTTAATTCGTAAAATGTGTCTTATTTCAAGTGAATTGTTTTGAATGTCTCGCTTGCTTACTGAAACAATCAGAAGACCAACTACTGCTGTATTGTCTGAACACAGCCGCCCAAACATCCTGACTTCCATGTTTTGTATAATTATGAATAGCATAATGGTGAACACGATGAGCGCATTTTGTTGGTAGATTGTATGTTGTTCTCTTTTTTAATATATAGATACCTACCTATGGCATTGTATCAAAATGATCTGGTTCTATGCCCCATGTTTGGGTGATGGGATTCATGCTAATGTAGTAGTGCCAGTCTTTAGAATTCTCAAATTGCAGAGTCAGCAGCATTTTATTTTTTGTACATTGTGATAAATTGAAGTAGTTGACCTCAGATGGACTAATAAGATTATAATGGCAAAAGTTTCTGTTCATAGCGTATTGTGATTCCATTATGGTGATGTCAAAGCCTGTTATGACCCCCAAAATAGTAATGTACCAGGCCTGACTCGCCGAGTGATGCTATAATTACGTTTAAGTATGTTATTAACCATTGGAGACAATGATATTGGTAACTCTACCATTATGTATGTACCTGTTAATTCCATTTGTATTTAAGGTAAAGAGAGGAAAGTTATATATATTAAAAAAAATCATAAAAAAATATAAAGATGTATGTATGTAAAGTACTTACAAGAACTCTGCTTTTATATGACCAAATGTTTGACATAGATGATGGTATTAAGTGGATAAGGAGAAGCCTGGAGAACTAGATTGCCAAAGCTCTGGTTGATATCCTAGGATAGATTGATCGGCAGGCAGCTTTTTTATCCTCAAAGTGATAGAAAAATTACATTTTGACATGACATGTATATTGTGCTCGTAGCATGCTTTGAAATGTATTAATAAAACTTTACCATGTGATTGAGTTGTAAGAGTGATATGTTCTTCAGTGTGTTGAAAATGTAGACAAGTTTCGCAACAAGATGTAGTACACTTCACATGCTGAAGTGATTCTACAACGATCTTGTTTAAAGCTGAAGACTAACTGAAATTATTCCAAGTGCTTTCAGTTTTGTGGCCCAAATAAAGAGGTTACAAAAATTAAGGTGAAAAAAATGGACCTTGGTGTTTAATGACAATTTTAGGAAATTCAGTATGCAAGTCCCAGAGAAGACTACCATATTCATGTATACAATATAATAACCTTACAGAGGTTTGTGAATTACAGATAATGAAATGACTGACAATGATACTGGCATCTGATTTAGCCTGTCTTCAGGTATGTCCTAAAGTTGACATACAGTGGTGGGGTTTTAACCTGTGACCTTTGGCATAATCACTGGCTTACCAATGACGAGAATTTATGAACAATCAGTCTTGATGGAAGTATGCCATACCTTCGACGACTTGTAATGAAATTTTTATATCAAATCGTAAAGTACATAATAAACAAATGTCTGTAAAACAGGTCACGATCGCAGGAATAGGACATTCTACACGTGAAATAAAGCTGAATTAGCAGGAATCATATATAAGTAGTTTTTCGCCATTTTGAAATGAGGTACTGATATTAATTGCAGACCCCTAAAACTAAACGAAAGTACGGGTGACATGATGACAGTCCTTTATGTGACCTTGTTTTATGAAGCAGCGAGTTACAGTACTAGTACAGTGAAGAAGACTGAAAGGCCTACTTCATTTTCGTATTAAGTAAAAGTTAATGATATACAGCTACAGAAAAAAATATATGAACAAACAAATAAGAATTTGATTCATTGTGTTAAATTGTCTATCATAACGCAATATATCGACACATGGAAATAACACGGTTGCTTCCCTTTGCCGGTACAATTCGGGGAAAACATGGCGACTTTGTGGACGAGCGGTAGGTATAAAGACATAACATGAAGCTTAATGACAACATCAAAATTATTTAAAAGTGGTTAATATACTACACGTGCCATAAATAAACTATGAATATGTAAATGCACGTCTTAAATTCATTATAAGTGTCATGTAAGATGATAACGAAAATCGTAAACAAAATTGTTTTGAATTTGCTTTGCTGAGGTCAAAGTCCAATGCTATGCCAGAGTTAAAGATGTACAACCCTTGACAATTTACAAATCTTTTTTGTTTTATTTGATGCCGGTGATTAATCGAAGTGGTTGGACAGGCAAGAGTTTGCTCGAGATTCTCATACTGATTGATGCAGTAGGCTTACTAGTCCTTCCTTGCTTCCCAGTGTATGTTAACATAACTAATACACGATGTGTGTTTCTTTCGTTTGCTGTATACAGGAATGCAGGTATGCAGAGCCTTACCGCGACTCTGCGCTATACCCACCATACAGAGGGGGAGAACAGTCCGGCTCATGTCTACAGAGACAGATGCTCTACAGATAGATGTTGACAGCAAAACAGGTAAGAAAAATTAAAGTTAGTATTCATTAGAAATATTGAGTGATTATATGACCATTTTGAATACACACCCCTTATCAGCCTGAGGGTCCTGATGTCAGTCAGAGGGCCAAAGCTTGAGGACAGATATCAGGATTCGAGGCTTGATTAGGAATGTGATATCAAAAATTGTGATTTAATAGCCATTTATCATACTTTTTTTTTTTAGAATTAACAAACCATACAAAGACAATTTTTGAGATAAAGCATTTAATCAACAGCAATAAGACACTATTTACTGATATTTATAGATAGCCATGCTAAGCTGTTTATGCTCGCAGACAAAAGCTGCAGGTGTATCACTAATAAGGAAAACCAGTACAGAAAAGGCACCATTTGAGTTGGATTGAATTTTTTTTCAGAACTAAAATAAAATTCTTTCAGACCAGAAATATTTATGTTTAAATGAGACAATGATAAGCGAAAGTGGCAGAATATAAAAAATTGAGATGGGGTGTGATATCACTTCAAGGGATGTGGTATCACCCAAGCTGATGTCAATCTGTGGAAATTTCAGACTTATCACACATACAAAAATGGTGTTATCAGGAGTAAACTTATGAGAAAAACATATATCGAAATTTGCTTTGTCATTTAAAAGTAGCCATGTTGTCAAAATTGTGATGAGAGACCTAAAATACATTGTTTTCCAGCAATAAGCCAATGCCAGGTAATAAGCCTGCCCATATCTATTATTATTATTGTAGTTTGAATGACATTTTGTACATCACATGTGTACTGTTATTTCATATCAGCCTCTTTTAAACTTTTTTTTTCAGGGGTGGCTACTATGAAAATGTGCCGTCCACCTGTCAATAGTCTCAATCTAGAGTATCTCACAAGTATGAATATAGCACTTGAGAAACTGGAGAATGAAAAGTGTAAAGGACTCATTTTGACTTCAGTATGTAATAGAAGTTCATTGCAGATAATTTCATCCCTTAGAATTTAAAAATTAACTTTTATATGTAAATTTGTATTCTGGAACTAAGACAATATGTTATAAGAATAATTTCCTGGATTGTAATTTATTGACTGTTTACAATATTGAAATTTGTTATTCAGAAGATTTGTAAATCTAATATCCAGGAATCACTTTTGTGATTTCCATTAACCTTAATTTATCTCATTTACTTTTATAGGCTGTACCTAAGATTTTCTGTGCTGGATTGGACATTCTTGAAATGTATCAACCCGATGTGGAAAGATTGCAAGTGTTTTGGAGATCATTACAAGATGTTTGGCTTAGATTGTATGGCTCCAAAATGGCAACCATAGCAGCTATTAATGTGAGTGAAGCATTTCTGCATCTTGTTGGTTTAGCGACATAATCTAACTCGAATTTTTCATTGGTAGCCAGGGATTGCTTCCTAGAACACAGCGTAGTGATCTGCATGACTATTCAGGTTTTCTTAATATTCTCCTGTAACCTTTTTTATTTCACAAAGTAGAATCCAGTACATGTTGTCATCAGGGCCTAGTAGTATGACTTGACAGCATCAGACGACAAAACATTTTCCCAAAATCCTTTTTAAATACAAGATAATTCAAGTTATCTGAATTATTTATGTTTTTCTGCAGGGTCACAGTCCTGCAGGAGGCTGCCTACTCGCCACATGTTGTGATTACCGGATAATGGCTCCTAACTACACCATTGGACTCAATGAAACTCAGCTGGTAAGTCCTTCTGTAACCCTAGTAAGATATTAGCCGCAATATACCACTCGGCTATGGAGAACTTCTCTTTAGCTCGGTTAGTTGAGCGCCAGACTAGTAAGCAAGGGGTCCCAAGTTTTATTCCTAGCGGAGGCATTGAAATAGATAATGACCTGTGTTACACTACTATTTCCTAATTATCCCCTGTGAAACGTGTTTGCAGGGGATATTAATTTGGGCACTTTGCGTGCATCCATTTTCCAGACTATAACTTCAAAACAGTTCAACTCGCCTTCCCAAAACTTGTTGTATATATTAAGTTAGTTGCGCCTTTCGCTATTTACAACATTTTATTTTTTATATATTTTTTTGTGTTACCATGGAAAAGCACAAAATTTGTGTTAACATTCCTTTCCAGGCTACAACTGTAAAACTATTCCACTCAACTTCACAAAACTTTCTGTATATATTAAGTTAATGCCCTAGTTGTGCCTTTTGCTATTGACGACATGTCATTTTTTGTCAATTTTTTTCTGTTACCTTGGAAACACAGGGTTCTCGATCTGCCATATTTCGGCCCCATTCCCAATGCAAAATAGTATCTTTTTTTCCCAATTCAAAGTAAGACACCATTATTTTTCCCAATTCTAAGGGCCCTGGGCCCGGGCCCCAGTCCCAAAATGGGGTGTGAGAGCCCTGAAACATACTAAAAAAATACAAAATAAATATTAATTTTCCTTTCCGGGCTACAACTTCGAAACCATTCCGCTCCACTCCACAAAATTTTGTGTATAAATTAGTTTAGTGCCCTAGTTAAATTTTTTTTTATGTTACCATGTAAACAGGTAACCCTCATCACAAATTTCAGTTTTTCTGGACCAATGCTTTAAAATCGTTCAAGATAATTACTCAAAACTTTTATTGAGCTAGTCTTATCTTTTGTTATGGAGAAGCTGTCCATTGAAGTACTTTTTCTGTTACCATGGAAACAGATAAGCCAAATCAAAAAGTTCATTTTTCAGACAAGTTCTCTCTAACTGTTAAAGGTACTCAAAACTTAGTACAGACTTGAGCTAGTTCTCTAGTAGAAATTCTCAATTTTAATACTTTGTATGGCCGCGGGGGATAATGTCAGGTTTTGTGTTATCTTGTCTTAAATTTAAGTCAAACTTTTTATCATTTTACATTATTTCATGATCTCATTCTTTTTCTAAGGTCTAGAAATCACAATACTTACTTCTTCTGTATTCCTGCTGTCATTTTAAATACAAAGCAAGGACAGGGACACATGCAATTCTTCTACAAATTTGCTGAATTATATGGACATGTTTTGCTTGTGAACTCTGGTATCTCAAGGCTTTTCATGCAAATATCTTTCCAGCCCAAGGACTTGAGGTTTTTTCAGAGGTACCAACTCTAGACTTAATGAATAATTTGGTAAGAAGTGATTCCCACGAACTGACTATGGATAGGAATGATGTAAAGATCTTGTAATTGTAGGGACTTCTTATCAGTATATGGTGTATCGTAATAAGTTATACTTTATTTTGTTTGGTTTTTTTTTTTCAGGGTATTGTCGCCCCATTTTGGTGAGTTTTCATCATATACCTTCAAAACAGTGCATTATGTGTTTCCATGGTGCTAGGTCAAAAGAGAGACAACAAATAAAAAGCAACACATACAAGTTATTTGACCCACCAGAATGTAACACCCTAAATTCCTGGAATACATGTTCAGAAGTTTCTAAGCAATACATTATGTTCAATGTCACACAAAATTAATTCTACTGTAGAATCTCACCATAGCATGGATGAATAACATTGATTTTTTGTCTTGTCATGAACGTGATAAAAATATCTGAAAAATGTTGCTGATTAACATTATTTATTATAGGTTCAAGGATACAATGTATGGGGTCATAGGTAACAGGGAAACGGAGTATGCCCTCACATTAGGTGTCATGTACAGCACGGAGGAAGCCCTTGGCATCAAACTTATTGACAAGGTTGTACCACAGGATGAGGTTTACACCGCAGCTCAGGAGAAAATGAAGCAGTATCTGAAAATTCCAGGTCAGCATATCATTTGAAGATATTTCATATTTACTTGTATTATCCTAGCAGTGGTTATGTTTTATAAAGTTGATAAATCTAATATGCATTGATAAATAGAGGCTCTTACAGGAGTGTCAATGTAAGACAGAGTTAATTAAACAAATTCAATAATTAGATCCATTACAACCCTTTAGGCAAATGATATATCAAATAATCTAACGAGATTGATAAATTCCACATGATATTAGCACAAGTTGAAGATCGGAGAAAGAAGTGAAAACTCTCAAATAATTTAACTTACTTGATGCAGAAGGTATATTTTTCACTATAGAGACAATCATTTGACGCCATCAAGTCGTGACTTGTTAACAGCATCATAATATTGTCATTACACCTGTGTTTTATATTTCTGACATAGTCATGTGACAAGATACAACAAGCCAGTTATGTGATAAATAATGGATTAACCATGTTTCCAACTAATTAATAAGTATATTTACCCTGATAAAACTGTAAAAAAAATTTAATTTTCAGAGGTAGCCCGTCAGCTCAGCAAGGACATGATGCGGAGAGAGACAGTTGAAAAGCTAAGACTTAAACGTGAAGAAGACGTTGCTAACTTTAAGAACTTTGCAATCAGAGATTCAGTGCAGAAGTCTTTGGGAATGTACTTAGAAATGCTCAAAAAGAAAAGTCAACAGAAAAAGTAGAAAATACAGATACACGTCAAAAGGACATTCTGTATCAGATTGTCATAAATGTGTATGTAATATTGTCATAAATGTGTATGTAATATAACATATATCCAGGTTGTTACGCCCATGATTAATGGGTTAAAAAGACTTAAAAGTTGGTTTGCTGCAGGTAAAATCTTTCCATTTTCTTTATTGGTCAAGTTGTGTTAAGTGTGGAGTTGGTCTCTTCGTTGGTCAGACATTGCTGACTAACTTTAGAAAACATGTGAACAAACCAGTGGGCATGTTTGTTATTTATTGGTTGTAGAATCTATGGTAACCATACTTCTTATAGAATGTACAACATTATTTGACATTGAGTTAGTTTTATGTTGTTATGTGGTTTTGCCTCTCAAGCTGAAGCTGCCAGGAGGTATACAGGGATTAAAAGAATAACTGTTCTTTGAGTAAAGAAAAAGTGACATTGAATTCAACAAATGTCACATCATGTCACTTAGTTTCGGGGCTAGTGACCAGGCCACTGTATCCAGTTTTGAGATCCATGGTGTGATTTCCTTTCTTATATTTTGCATCAGTTTATTTCAAACCAGTTTTGTCAGTAACAATGACGAGACCCAGGAATGATATCACTGATGTTTGTCATTTAACGTTAAACATATCTACGCGTGTAGTTCATTTTAACATCATTTCATAACTTTTTATCCTTACTGGCCAAATTGCACTGGATTGATATGAACCATTACATTATTTCTTGGGGGAAAAAAAACAGACTATTGATTTTGTATAAGAAAACTATATAATAAGTCGATGGTGTCATTTAATAAGTCTTATATAATACAAGCATTTATGTAGAGTGGATGTGATACACAATGTATATGAAATAAGTTATTGATGAATAAAATCATATTTTGTACATAGACTAAGGCAAATTACTTTTGTGTTGATATAGCAAATAAGAATACATATACACTTTCATATATTACTTTCCATATGCCAATTATGCAGAATGAGCTTAGGGACTGCAACAAACGTTGGTTGTGATGAAAGTGTTTTTGTATATTCAGGTTGATTTTGTTGTACAATTTTTTTTTAATTAAATGTTATGTCCAAAAAAAATATGCATCGTATGTAACATGAATGTTCAAAATTTTTATATATTTAAAAGTACTGTTTGTTGTATGATTAGAAGAAACCACATACACAGGAGATTTTTTCTGAATTGGGTTATACAGGCGACGAAGGACCCTAATATAATTTAAGGTTACATATAAAACTCCTGAATGGATATATTGCCTTGATATAACTTTCATTTCAGGAGACTTATGATAAGATATCAAGGCAAGTGCTGACTACCATTTAGAATATGAAAAGGAGCATTATTTAATTCAAACCATTTTTTTTTACTTAATAACACCTTAATGAGTAGCTGTAAGGATGCTTTCAAAAACTGAATAGGAAGCCATCTCAAATTAAATATCAGCTAGGTCAAAACTTTGATTACCAGAAACCATTAACTGGACCACTTTCATGTCTATAAAACAAATTTCATCTATATCAGAAATTTTTTCTACTTTTGTGATTTTTGGATCAAAAGTAAAAGTGTACATTAAAAATCGGGGATGTTTTATCCACTTACTGCTTCAGAAGTAGTTAATAGCTGAAATTTTTTATGAAAATGAGTCTGGCGACCAGATACAAAAGTAATTCAAATAAAATATCACTGGAATCATATTTGGCTTAACGGTTCCTCGGATAAAGCCCAGCATTGTTTGCAAAAAGAAATAACCTTGACCTAGATTAAAGATCACAGGGATCATATTTTGTTGACACCTTTAAAACATCTGATGATTGAGAAAACTGTCCAGAATCTTTTTATTTCGCTAGTATGAAGCCCAAAACAGTAATCAAAAAAAAATTATGATGTTTCGAAGTTTAAGGTACTACCAAAAAATCTTTGATACATCGATACTTTGAATCAGCCGTGGTGGCTATTTTGACATTTTCATGTCCATGGCTTCAGATGATGACACGATATTTCTACCTGAACAAACACATCAAAAATTTTTTTATAAAAATTTAGAAATGTTAAAACAACTTCTTATTAACAAAATAGCTTAGAATAATTCTGTTTGGCTTAAAGGTTTCTGGTATGAAGCTTGAAAAAAATTTCCTAAAAAAAGACCTTACTGAACAAAGTTTGCATAAAAAATGACCTCAATCCATAATCAAGGTCATGGGGTTGAAATATGCTGAAACCTTTTAACAGTTTCTGATTAACCAAAAGGCCTAGGTTCTTTATATTTGGTTGGTAGATTTCTGGGATAAAACCAAACATCATTTTCCAAAGAATTTAATTACCAAGCTGGTATTTGGCTTTTGAAAAAGCATTGGAGACAAGATGACCTATGCAGGCCTATTTGGGATCTTGTTTTACAGTAAATGATTTGTACATGTAATAAGACATTAATAAAAGCACCTCGTAATATTAAATTTATTGCATACAATCTACACGCCACTAATGGAGCAAGTATAATGAGTATATAGAGTGTAGTCATAGCTCATAACACAAACATAGTGAAGAAAAGATCGACTTCACTATAAATCTAACTAATAATAAATAAAAGTAAGGTTTAATGGAAATGATAAACTGGATATCTTTGACGCATTATTTTCGGACACTCCAAGATTAATTTCACGCTAGCTATGCTATGTCGATGAACTACCACCAAACAAATATATAAATGAATTGAAATGTGTTCATACTATTAGATTTATTCAAAGAAAACTGACCGGTGAAACAATAGTATTTTCTTTAAAAATGATAAAATAAAAATACATCCATGTTTCAAAAATGGTGGATATCTGTGTTTATGTGTGCGCCTTTTCTAAGGTTTCTAATGCAAGCATTTATTGTTTGACCCTTTTTCTCACATGAGTTATACTTCTTGGTAAACTTCTTTTTATGTCATTTGACCCAAAGGGTCATGATGACCTATCACCATCGTGCTTCGTCCATCACCGTCCGCCATGCGTAAACTTTTGGCATTTTATACTTCTTCTCAAGTTCCACCCCTGAGATTCAGCTCAAAGTTGCATGAAATGATCCTGAGATGGTCCTGTGTTGTTATTTTTCTGGTATGTCTGAAATCCAAGATGGCCACCATCTTGAAAAATATACTTTTAACTTCTAAAATTCCATTGGTGCCAATGAGCTAAAAACTGGTAGGAATGTTAAGGAAAGGTAGCCAACAAAGTGTTATTTTTCAACCTTGTCAAAACTTTGATAGGGAGATTTAGATCCAACTTTACTGTCAAAAAATAGACAATACTTGTTACAGTTCCCTACAGCTCACCAAAACTACCATCTGCATAATGGAAAACAGCTTTTTAGTAAGATTTCATTGAAAGCAGTAAAAATAACCCTTCTCCCTGCTGAAAGTTTTTGTTGACAGATGACCATCAAGACCTGTGGGCCTCTTGTTTATAACTATTTAAATCAAGTTGACTTTTCATCTCTCAGTCTCCAAGATAAAATCATGTTTTGCAATATTTTTCTGTATGATCTGTGCATGTTTGGACTTTCATAGCCCAAACAATTGTGAGAAGTCATTGCCTTTTAGCCAGGGTCAACAGATGACAACAAACATGGGAATATCCATTGATGGATTGGTCATCTCATCATTTCTGGGAGGATGTTTGATATGTAGTAATGTGTAATAAGAAAAATGCACAAATTTGCCTTAGATTAAAATAATAATAACAGACTTTATTTCAGGAGGATTTATGAACCTGTTAAGTCATGGCTAATCTTTTACAGGGTGTTCTTCATAGTTAAACATGTTATATGTAAAAATGCATGATTGTTCACAACATAATTATAGGATTATTATACATTTATCACAGATACATGATTAAAAATATCACAGAACGCACAAAAGTTCATAAAATTAGGTTTATCATTAAAAGACAACTTTTTTTTTCTGTTTTACATACATACTAATAGAGTAAAGTTTAAAAATTGACATAGTTACAGGCTAATACAGCATAGAGTGTAACATTACTGGTAGTATTTTTACTAAAGACCTGCCTTGTAATGAACATTTTCAGCCAAAGTAAAATCACTGGAGAGATATTATGGTGCCATACCATTTTATACATTTTTTGAATTGGCATCTATTTCCAAATTTGATTTTTCTCAAATTAATCTGGCAGCACACTTCTGAGCTTTTGACAGTTTGTCCTGAGAAGCTTTTGTACTTCCAGACGGGACTGTATTATTGTAAAATTTCAAGTGGTATTCAATTGGTAAAAAATTGGCGAATATTTTATGGTGAATGGTTTGAATCACATTTTTTATTCTTTCTGGAAGTGTGATATGTTACAGCAACCAAATTATCCGAGTACAAGGTCATAAAGGTTAATAGTTCATATACGGCTCGACGAAATGGCCGTTCCGAAATACATAACGGTCCGGAACCGCTGTCGAGACGATACCAGTGTGAACGTTAAAAAGTGTTTGTGTATTTATCCTAATTTAGACTTTTTATCATGAAAATCTTAAGTATCAAAACTGGGTACATATAAACATGTACTAGTACTGTATGAGAGCTGAAACTCCGCCGATAACAGAGATGTGGTGTGAGAATGGGGTTATACAAATGACCATTGTATAGGACAAAAAAACTAAATAAATTATTAACAAACTAAACCATTGAGTCTGGTGTAAAGGATCGAAGCACAAAAACATGAATTCCATAAAGTACTTATCTATGGACTGTGGGTAGGGAATTCGTCGGATGTTGTGCTAGAATTTAATTCAATTAAACTTTGGCGATTCAGGGGGAACTACTCTCATGAAGTTGCCGCTCTTTTGTCAGTGAAAACCACAAAGGTAGGTAAAACGTGGTCTTTGTTATTGTTAAATACTTCGACGATTTGGTAACGTTTTGGATAATAAAGCCAGTTTTACTCCACGCCATGTTTTACTCAAAGTTGAGTAAATATCAGAAGGAGTTTTTTATTGTTTGAACGCAAAAGTCATGAAAACGTGCTCAGTGGCCTGTAAGTCCAGTTATAGACGGAAATATCTATCTCTAAAATGATAATTTAATGCCAATGTTCACATACGTAATACTGTTATTCATATTAACATTTTCATCGGTCCGGAAAAGCCCGACTGAACTACTTCTGGTGATACCGGGTGGTACCAGACTGCTCTTGTTTACGTTTATAAACATTTGACAGGTCAAGCTAACAATGCTTATGAAGATGGTGTATTTTTTGTGTACTGCACAACGTTGCTACACACCGAGGCCACGTACATTTTCAATACTTTGTGGATTATTTTCAGATTTCCAAAAGAAAAATGACCTCAAATAAGTTGCTGACGCTGGTACTGCTCCGACAAGCACCGAGGATCCTCCTTGGAATGAAGAAGAGAGGATTTGGTGTTGGGCGATGGAATGGATTTGGCGGGAAAGTGGAGCCAGGGGAAACTATCGAAGCTGCCGCTAGAAGGTGAATATCAATGAGGGAGAAGAGGCTTACATTATATGTATGTAATCTATTAAATTAAAAAGATCAGTCTGCGTTGTTATGTAATTGTTTATGGTGCCTGTTGCAGCTTACATCGGTGTACATCTAGCTGTACATAATCGTGTTATAGTCGACTGTTACCGTATTTGTTGTTTACAGCTGAAAATGAAGTGTTTGTTTTCCTTTAGCTTAAGTGTTATTTACGAATGAAGTGGGGAGGAATAGAGACAGCTTCCTTACTTATATTACTAAATATTTATCTATCTTCCCGACTGATGAAGTGGCAGGATTGTGAAAATGGTAGAAACTATTGACTTTTCGTACAGAACTGCTGGGGAAACTTGGTGTTTTAACATTCTATTTCAGGGAACTACTTGAAGAATCGTGTATAGTCTGCGATGATTTGAAGGAAGTAGGACTTCTGAAGTTTGAATTTCTAGGTGAACCACAGATTTTAGAAGTACATGTGTTTACTTCTAATAATTTTAAAGGGGAACCAAAAGAAACAGAAGGTGAGAAAGAAATTCTTGATGTATTTTGGAAAAGATTTTGACAGTCTAAATTTTGTATTCTGTTGATTGAGATCGCCGGGTTGTCTCTCGGTCCTCCGATTATATTGCTCGAGTATAGTTGTAACGGTTCTGCACATTAAAATGATCCGATAAACGGAATTTATTTAATTGAACGAATTTTGGGGGTGGTGACATTCTCTTTACTTGCTTGGCAGATTTTGAAATTGTTTAAAAATTCTCGGACACCATTTATGAGAATTCAAAAGGACAAAAGAGCTGCATGATGCAGATTTGGCATAAAGTGTTGTTAATTTATATCGAATGATATTTTATTATCTTTGTACAGTACTGTGCTGGTAATGATTCCACGTCTCGTTACGAATATATACGAGCGATGAAAATTACCTGTATTTTTAAATGCTCTTGTTGTTTACTTCTTAAGTAAATGTCTTTAGAGAAGATCGATAAATTAAATTTGATCATGCGAGGCGTGAAAATCGTCATGTTTTCTCATATCCATGTTTTCATTCATTACATCCCCCCATCTTGTACTGTATTAAGACATATTTATTTTGACAGAGATGCGTCCGCAATGGTTTGAAGAAAAGTCCCTCCCATTTGATCAGATGTGGCCGGATGATGTGCTTTGGTTTCCGTTGTTGTTAAGTGGTAAAAGGTTCTCTGGATATTTCGTGTTTGAAGGACTTGACAAAATTATAAAATACGACCTCGAAGAAACGAAAAACATCAAAGACAGTGTTATAAGCTGATAGAATAGTCATTTGTCATGCTTAAAATATGTCAATAAATTGAACAATATACAATGTCTCCACATCATCCTCAAAATTCACTATCTCTGCAGGTCATTAGTGATCATAACCCATGGAATTTTGAGGATATCTCATCGTACGTTCTTCATTTATTTAAAGGATATCATGGATCTTAGTTAAGGTTTTGTTTTGTTAGCCAACTCTCATCCGATGGTGAGCTATTGAAATCGCCCTACGTCCGTTGTCCGTGATCCGTACGGCTGTCGGTCAGTCCGACCTTCGTCACTCTGTAAAAGAAAATTGTTATCGTTATTTCTTGAGATGTAATAAGTGAATCTCACTCAAATTTCAAAGATGTAGCTTTCTTTGGTCCCGACTTGTGCCCGTTTGATTCTGAAACCGATTAGAAAAACTGAACAACTGAAAGGCGGCCATCTTGTATTTTGACTCCGAAAGTTTTTAATCGCTATTTTTTTTTTAAACAACTGTTTAGGTCCTTCTCAAATCTCATTTGTAGGTTCCTCTAGGTGCTTAGTTGTGTCCGTTTGATTTTGGGACTAATTGGAAAAACAAAATGGCCGTCAGATCGCCATTTTGGATTTTGACTTTGAAAGATTGTTATCGCTATTTCTTGAGAATTTCGACATAGATCTTTCTCAAATTTTATGTGCAAGTTCCTCCTTTTTCCTAGTTTAGTCCGTTTGGTTTTGGAACTGGTCGAAAAAACTAAATGGCCGACAGGGGACCATTTTGTATTTGGCAGTTAAAGATTACTATCGCTATTTCTGCAAAGAAATTTTAAAATTTCTTATCATTAAGAGCAAAAACACAGAAGACAAGAGAAAAGAAGGAGAAAGATCCAACCTTCAAAGAACAAATAAAGATCTAACAATGGTGGGCGCCAAGATCCCTCTGGGTTCTCTTATTTACATCCTCTTCATTTCATGTTGAACTTTGATAGAGCTGATTTATCGAGTTTAACAGGTATGCTAGAAATGACTGTTTATTTGTCATCATGGTCATGTATACAATTGTTATGAATGTTGTTGTTAGTACTGAAATTTAATTTTGATGTGACTGTTTTTTAAACTGAATCACATGATGAATTTAGTTGGTTTGTCATATTCAGTGAAATTTGTCCTGTTTTTAGACATGAAGTTATCATTCATGGCTATTTCCGTGTGTGCGACTGGGTCATTCGTTATTAATTCCACGCTAGGTAGTCACGGAATACTTTTTTTTAAAACATTTTTATTTTGTTTTTGTAAATGGAGATGTTTTACCATATTGACTGGGTCCAGAATTGAAGTGATGATTTATACAATGTTGTTCTGTTTTGTTATCTAATGCGCATTTATATTGCACTGATGTTTAAAATGAATTTCGGGGACATGATATAGGGTTGTAGTCCTGTGCTTTCCTCCTGACTTCATATTACATCACGTGCAAGCGATACACACATAAATGACATATTTTTTAATACTAGAAACAAAAGTAAATCATAATTATTTTGAAAATGCATTTCTGTTTGTTTGTTTTTTTCATTTTCTTCGGATTGGTAATGTTAATAGAATAGAAGTTATTATTATACAACCTGTATAAGATTAAAGTGTGACACAGTCACCTACATCAGACAAATGACCAGGTCGGAGCATTAACGTACATTGTGTACGAGATGGTACGGAATCGACTAACTTTTTCGGCTGTCCAATCATCCCATGTACACTAAGTTCGAAAATTGTGTGACGAGATGGTAAACAGATAATAGACCAAAAAAGACACCAGATGGTAAAAATGTACTGTGGTCAATTCAGTTAGAAACTGAAATGAGGAGTATTTTTTGCCTTAATTGCTAAATATTCCAACTACTGCTACTACCAATACTGTTACTATTACTACTACTACTACCACCACTACCAATACTGCTACTAACACTCCTACTATTACGAACACTACTACTACTATTATTACTGCGGTTATATCCTATATGTCTTTATAATCATATAGCTGTTAAGGTCCATGGGCCTCTTGTTTGATAGTCCATGAGATTAAATGCTAAAAAAAATTGTCTTCCTCTACTCATAAAAAAAGACTTTGGGTCATGATATTTGACCAGAAGCAATGTTGTATTGAAGGATTATCAAGTTTGCTCAGATGAATGACCTTGACCAAGGTCACAGGGGTCTGATTATAGATTCTTCCAAATTGTAAAATGCATTGCACTAGTATATGGTGTGGGTAACATTTTTGGTTACACTACAACATGTTAGTTGCGGGTGTTGCTAGTTGTGTTATCCAAATAAAGAGGGGCTAGATAACTGTAAAGTTAACTTTCACATCTCTCCTTTATATTTAGCATTATATAAAAGAGTGAACAGTGGGACAGGGCCAAGTAGGGAAAATTCTTTAAAATCCTACTCCGGAATGATTGCACGGAATATGCTTAATTTTGGTTTGAAGCATTCTTGGTTGAAGGTGATCAATTTAGTATAAACGGTTTGCCACGACCCAATGGGGTGAGATAGAGGCGGTGTCTAATAGGGAAAATAGAGAAAATACTACAGAAAAAAATTGAGAATATCAACATGTCAGTCCTGCTTCTATTATAGGAAAGAATGAATTTTGCCTAAATCTGGCTGCTACTGACGGAGGGTTGGGAGCCAATGGGAAAGTAGATATGCTGTTTTCAGCTTGGATATTAAGATTTTCCGATTTTCCATTAGTTTGGATGAAGCAATCTCAGCCAAGCAAAGGCAGATGAGCAATACAGACCCTCCTTTTTTCCATGAAATTTTCATGTTTTGGATTTAACTTTTTTTATTTTCTCATTGTATACGACATATAAACAATAATTCAGCATTTTTAAGTGACTGCTGCCGTTAAGCTTGACAATGATTCATTACACTTGTCTACTACTAGTCTTTAGTCCATAATTTGATCTTTTTCATTCTGAGCATTGTCGGATAGCATTAAGAAGATTGCAATCTATGTTTGATTTGAAAGCCTTTTATACTGGGACCAACATAGGGTCAACTTGTACACATACCGCTGCAAACTTATCTTGGCAAGGTTAGGGAAATTACCTGTTAACGGGTTTAAAACATTCTTCAATATGCATTATATGTATTAATGATATTAGAAATGTTAAATATAAGATTCACCAAGCGTAAGTAAGCTTCTTGTAATTCTTTTCCACATTTTAAGATTAAAATGAAAACAAATCTGTCGTAGATTGACAATGAATCACTGCACATATTATATACACCTTCATTTACGATGCTTAGTCAAAGTAATCGTATTGCAATTAATTTATAATTGTATTATATATATATACATAATGGGCTTTAACCTCTTGAAACACAAAAGAAGAGATTAATACTACTAGTTCAAACGTACAGACGAGGCCAAGGTCGTCATTATGACCTCCTTTCCTATCCCGAATAATGATTATAATTGTAAATGGTGACCGAAAACCGATGTCATTGGAAACACTTGGTTTGGTTCAGATTTCGGTGATAACCCGTAAGATATCGACTTCCTTTATATAGATATACATACAGGATTTGAAGTGTCACTTTTTTGATACGCTGTAAATGTAAAATGTATTTTACGGAGTGTCAATAATCCGAAACTAATTTTTTTTTGCCTTTGATACGCTACTAGAAGCGATATATATAATAATATGAATTTATATTGAATTAATGAACATATGGTATTATAGGAAACATTACACAAGCGCTAGACTTAATGTATCACGCACAGACATAGATTCTATCAATGAAAAGTACTTCCAGCACTGCATTGTCCAAGCACTAAACTGGTTTGACGGTCTCCTCTTTATCGTTCCGAAGGATGCAAAAAACCAATCAAACTATTTTCATGACTTGTAAAAATGCGCTATTTGTTTAACGTACAGATAAATCATTTACACAGGACAGAGACACCAGTTAAGAAGCTAACAATTAATTGCACCTAGCATATTTTGCAGGAATGGTCTAAAACACGTTGTTAATGTAATGCAACATATTCCCTTTCCTTACCATGTTCATTGAAAAAAACACACGAAATTTTTTTTATATATATATTTGTACACATATATCATATTTGTGAAGAAATTTTGAATGTAAACAGTCAACAATGTGCTAATGGACACCAACGGGGATTCCGTGTAAGGAGTTCCCAACTGATAACCCATTCTTTATACTAAGTTTCTTTCACAGCTGGATTATGAATTATAAATCTGCACCTTATAGTCTGGCTTCATCGAATGGTCCTTTTTTTATCCCATTATTTTCTACTATTATTTTGAAAGGTGTCTTTCGTACTGTCTTCTCCCACTTTCTGCTTGGAAATTGTCTTTTTTTTTTATTAAAGATGACAAAAGATTCCTTTTGATATTTAAATCATTTATTTGAAGTAAACGTGAACAAATATATTTCAATGTAGGTGAATTCTATGTTATACATTAGAGATGAGTGTTGGTTATATTTTGATACATCAGATACTTGTATACTAAATACATGTATACATCTCTGGTTACAAATGTATTTATCTATAAATCTTAGCACTAACCGTCTCATTTATGTCTCTTTTCAAAATTATATTATTACATAACGGTCCTTGTTCGAATGTGTCGCCCCATTTGTAAAACAAAACATGTATCCACATGTACTTGGAAGACATCGAACAACTAAAACCACTACATACAGAAAGAAATATATAAGAATGTCGATGACTTTGTTAGAAAACTGTTAGGGGAAGGTGTTTTATAAGTATCTTATTATGCAGCTTGCCTTGGGAAAAGACAAATGATTTTATTTTTATATCAAAGTTACTGCAGTATACCTATTTCGAGCCAATTGGTATTCGTACCTGATAACTTACAAATGCCTATTTCGAGCTTCTAGGTATTATATATTATTAAATGTTAATCCATTAAATATTGTTCTATTTAAAAGTCTGATTTTAATTGATTACTGTACATGCACACATTCAAACCGAAGTTGGATTGTACAAGTGTGGTCATTTGTGACACATTCCAATATCAACACTCGTGCTACACAAATTAATCTGACATCTTAAGTC